TTAGTTTTGGCCCATCTCTCTAGTCTGTCAAGATCATTTTGAATCCTGCTCCTGTCCTCTGGAGTATTGGCTATTAGGCCTGGGTAACAACGGAAAAATTTGTTTCTAAAATCGATTTGTATTTGGGGGGTTTTTTTGTTTCAATATTTAAAATAATTACAAAATTTTCCTTTTAAAAAGTTCGATATTTACGAAATTTCGTAAATGGTAAAAAATTAACGAATCGATTTCCGAAACAATAACGAATCGATTCGTTAATGGCGGACACGACCGCGAAATACGCTAAAAAACCTCCAAAACCTTCTGAAGCTTCCCTCTCCCTCTGTTGTTGACTGTTGGTGTGATATTATAATTTTTTTTCACTAATTAAACCATAAAACTGGCCCAGACATGCGGAAATAATAACGAAACGACCTCAAAACAATAACGAAACGAATACAATAACGAAATACGAAGCATTTACAAAACGTATTTAAAAATTCGTTTTTTTAAATAATTGCTCCAGAATGGTTCGTTATTGTTTTGTAAATGGAAAAATTAACGAATTATTAATGAATTACGAATTAACGAAACGAAACCGCCCAGCCCTATTGGCTATCCCTCCCAATTTGGTGTCATCTGCAAACTTGATGATCATGCCTCCCTCCCCAGTGATATTAGATTAGCCCCTTCTTTCCTGACTTTCAGAAAAAAGGTGAAAACATGGCTTTTTGACCAAGCCTTTGGCAACTAATACAGTGCAATAGATTACTTGGATTTATGTATAACAATCATTGGAATGGCCCAAACTTGATTGTGGATAACGTGATTTTATAGCTGTAAGTGGTATTATTTATGATTTAATTGCTTTTAACCTCATTTAGATTTTTAACTAAATGTTATTTAATCGTTGAAATGTTTAAGGCATTGAATTTTCCCTCTGCTGTAAGCCGCCTTGAGTCCCCTTTGGGGTCAAGAAGGGCGGCATATAAATATAGTAAATAATAAATAAATAAATAAATAAATAAATAATTTGTTCTTGTGTACCTAGAATTTCATTCAAATGAAAAAGCAAATAAAAGGCCAATGTTATGAGACTACAGAAATCATCTAAAGCAATAATGATCTCTTTACTCCAAAATCAGCAAAAAGCATATCCTCATTTTCTGCTATAAGACATGTGTTTTGGCTTGCATTTTCTCAACTCATTGTTCTATAACCATTGGCATGACCTAAATCACATTTTTGTCCTTTGCTTATTCTCCTGAAGTTCTAATTTGCTTTCATTCTTAGTCTTCTCCCTTTGTTATTATCTTAGTAACTTTCAATATAGTGCAAGAACACTTCAAACTACTACAGAGATAAGAAGAAAAAGAGATAGTTACATTTTCTAATCGTACCTCCGCACAAATCTCTGTTGTCAACTTTTGCTTATATGAAATCACATGTTTTTCTTGGGAAGTACAGCAGGAGTAAGTCCACAAAAACATAGTTGTTTTAAATGTGATTTCCCTACATCAGGGTTCACATAATTAGATGAAATAAACCATTGTAGATTATCTATAAAAAAAGTATGGGAATATTCTCTCAACACACATTTCTTAGTTCTGGCCCAGACTACCTGTCCAACCATATCTCGTGTTATGAACCATCACGAAGATTAAGGTCATCTGAAGAGGCCCTGCTCTTGATCCCACCACCATGGCAAACACGATTGTTGGGGATGAGAAACAGGGCTTTCACAGCAGTGGCTCCCCGTCTGTGGAACTCTCTCCCCAGGGACATCAGACTGGCCACCTCCCTCCTGTCTTTTAGAAGGAAACTTAAGACTTGGCTGTGGGACCAGGCATTCGACCAGTGAATAGCAGCAAGTGGAAAGAAGACTTAGGCAACTCATGACAATGAATTGACCCAGACTTGGATTTGGTTTTTAACTGGTGTGCTAATCAATTGTTTTTAATGAACTGTTTTCATGTTTTTAATGTATCTGTTGAATATTTTATAATGGTGATGGCATCGCATGGTGCTTGTTGTGAAGCCGCCCTGAGTCCCCTCCCCCCTCCCCCGGGGTGTGTGTGAGAAGAACGGGGTACACATATAGGAAATAAATAAATAACTAAATTGTCACTTCCCTATTTGTGGATTTTCCTCAATGCCTGAAGAAGCCGATTACCATAAATTGCCTTGCATACTGATAATAGTGTCACATTCCTCTTTAGCCAGAATCACTGGAAGGAAATATTTCAGAGTTAGTACATGACAGGGTAAGAAAGTTGTTTTTGCCAGGCTGATCCTACCATTAAATAATGTGAGGAAGCTGGCTCTGACAGCAAATGCTGAGGATTGGGGAGCTTGTCTGCACCCAGAGATAAAATAAGACTCGCTTGCTTGTTCACTTGATTTCTATAAATGGAATGGGGAGAGCTGCCATTTTGTTTTTCACTGTAGGTGGAAGAATGTCTTTGGTTGGCCTTAACTTCCATTGAATTTGTGATGGCATGGTGTTCCATGGTTCACCAAAAGCTTTAATCTTTAGCTGCAAAATACAATCTCCAACCACCGCATCTTTAGAAAAAGTATTGAGTAGAAGAATAAATTAAGGCTAAAATCATATTTGTGAGTATGCCCTCTGTTCAGAGAGTAAGAGATCTGAAGTGAATGCTCAGCAACTCTGGATCAGAAATAATGGGGCTTTGTAGGATGAGAAGAGCTTTATCATTTTTTTTTCTGCTCAGAAATGTTTTTAATGAGCAGAGCTACAATGACCTGAGATTTTTGTGTGTGTGTGTCAGGAGCGACTTGAGAAACTGCACCTGAGATAATCTATATACATGTAGAGGAAGGTAGTTCTGTATAAAAGAGTCTTCCACCATATTCAGATGTTAAACAGAATCTTCTATTAAGTTTATATGTGTATAGGTAAAGCTATCTCCACTTTTGTTGAAGGTGGTTGCTATTTTACTTTATAAAAATTGTTTTCAAAAACTGCATATTCTTTGGTATATGTGTGCTACAAAAGAAATCTACCTTTTGGTTGTTAGCTAAAAGTACCAAGAAATAGGACAGTAAGTATATAGGAGACTCGGATAGTTAGAAACAGGATGCAAAAAACACTCGTTTCCTCGTTTTGCAAGAACGTGGAAGACTTGGTGGTTTCATCAGGCCTTTGAGAATGACTAGTTACAAGTCCCAGCTCCTGGGCCTTAGCTAGATTTTGGCCTTGCTCCTAATCCTCTTTCTTGACCCCCTGTCATCTCCAAGTATTTGTTCTGCCCAATCCCTCTCATAGTCCATTAATAGGTCCTGGAAATGTAGCCTTAGGTCCCACTATGGTCACTGTTAGGATCAGTCTTTGCACTTTCTCCATCTCCCCGGCCCTATATAGCTCTGCACTATCCTCAGCCCCCTTAGACGGTTTAGGCCTACTCGACTACTCCAGCCCCTAGCAGCTTATTCCATACAATAGAATAGTGTTTGAATTGGTTTTAATGTAACTTTAAGTTTAATGTAAGTTTAAGTTTAAATTTTATGTTGATAATTTTGTGCCTTTGTCTTGAATACTCTGTATATCTTTTCTGTGTTATTGCATGCGTGGAAACCTCCCTGAGTCCCCCAGGGGAAATAGAGCGGTATATAAACAAAGTTTTATTATTATTTATTATTATATCACTGAAGGCCTAAACTGAAGTTACTACTTGTTATTGAGCTTCTAATGCTCAATCAGTAGCTATATTGCTTTTATGCACGTGTTGAAGTTAATTCAGTTTGAACCATGAAACTTAGAATAACCAGAGATATATAACTACACACTTCAAGTGTAATTGTCTTTTTCTCTAGTCTCAAGATGAGTGATGAGATAAGGTATTAAAACTCCAGATACATTGTAAACTGGTAATATATTCAACAAGACAATATCTAGTGCAGATATTGGGTAACAGTTATGACCTAGGGGCTAGATTCCAATTTGTGTCTTTATCCGAGATGTCAGTGAGACTAAAGGTATGGGACATAATCAAATAAAAGTGATTTCAGTGAGATATAATTCTAACCAACTGGGACATTTTTCCACCAAGTATACAAAGCACAACTCAAGTCAATGCACGTATGCTTGGGAATAAGAGCTTCTACTACATGTTTCTATCATGTAAAACAAAGTTCAATTATCTTCAACATCTATCCAGACTTCAAAACACAGCTATGGTCTGTGTAACATATTCCCAGACTCCAAAATAAAGTTTAATTCCACATATCAGTTTCCTAATCTAGTCTATTTTCCAGCTTTGATAACAGAATCATAGAATCATGGAGCTGGAAAAGACCATGTCAGAAGATTTTGGAACACATCTAGGCCATACTCTGAACATAAACAGAAGTTTCTGCATAACTCATTAGATAACATAAATTCCTCTGTGACCTTTTCCACATTGGAAGCAGCAATTTAAAAAAAAATGATGGTAACTGAATTGGTGGGGGAGATTTCACATATGGAGGAATGACTAGCTAAGCTTGTTTTGATCTTTTTTTAAAAAAAAAAATCTTAGAAGTATTGTTGTGATGTAAGGATTTAAATATATGTGTCTCCCACTGCTTAGCACTTTTGACTCACACATGCTACTTACGTATTGTGGATGAGATCTTACATTGCATTCACAACTATGTCAGTAAATAACCTTTGGAACCCACCTTAAAGGGGAGGAAGCCAATTTGAGCCATTGAGGTCTGTTATGTGGACGAGTGGGGTTCTACAGAATGACATATCTGGCCCCTTTTGACTCCTGATCCATGATGCAAGGAGAGGGTGGGGACTTGCCACATCATACAGAAGCTTTCCACTTGCCCTCTCCAGTTTAAGGTGGTTCAGGGGGTATTTATGATTGGGGAAATGTTGTATCCAGATATGCATGGTACATCTGAATACAGAGCAGTTACAGGTCAGTAACTCTCAATTAAGTATAAGTATTACAACACAGGATGTCATTTTACATTTTAACTGGTTTTTGCTGTTTTCTTTTTTCTTAAAGGATGATTCCTGCAACAAATAAGGCTTTCGTGGTGAACAACCTAGTTTCTGGAACAGGCTACGACCTTTGTGTCCTGGCCATGTGGGATGACACTGCTACAACGCTCACTGCTACCAACATTGTGGGCTGTGCCCAGTTTTATACCAAAGAGGATTATCCCCAATGCCACTCCATGCACAGCCAGTTCCTGGGGGGAACAATGATTCTCATCATTGGTGGTATTATTGTGGCAACTCTGTTGGTGTTTATTGTCATACTCATGGTTCGGTACAAGGTTTGCAACAATGCTCCAGGAAAGATGGCCAACGTTAGCAATGTCTATTCACAAACCAATGGATCCCAGCCTGTCCAGAATGGGGTCCTTCCACAAGTCAACCCCAAAGTGGTGGTAAGGAACGAGTTAATGGAGTTTAACTGTGAGTCAGCACACAGTAGTATCTCTTCTTCATCAAGCTCTGTGAATAGTCGTGACTGTGATGGCTACAGTCTTCAAAGTGAACAGGGAACATTGTCCAGTAAATGGAGACCCCCATCGAGGTCAAAGCACAACAACATTGACCGGCTCATGGGAGCTTTTGCATCGCTGGAACTGAAGTGTCAGAAAAAGGAGGAAGCAATAGATTCCAGGACTTCAACAGTGGCCCGTCACTCAGACAAGGAGCCACTGCTGGGCCAGCAGGAATCCAAATTCTGTAGCCTCCTCATGTTACCTCTGGAGGGTAAAACTAAACGTAGCCATTCTTTTGACATGGGGGACTTTTCCACCTCACAATGTTGCAATTACCCCAAAAAGATTACAAACATTTGGACAAAACGTAGTCTGTCAGTGAACGGCATGCTTTTGCAATATGATGACAGTGACCTAACAGGGGCAAAGGGGACTTATGGGAGCTCCGAGTGGGTCATGGAAAGCACAGTGTAGATAAGAGTTTTCTCCATTCCATTCTTAGTCCCTCTGAACATAACAAGGTCCATGATTGTTAAAACAAAACGGCCATAAATATGTGAGAAAAAGAAGAAAACAGAAAGTGACACACACACACACAGAGCTGTATATTGGTCAGTAAATATTAAAGTAAGAAAAAGAAATAAGATTGAATAAGAGAAGTTATGACATGTTGAAAAAGGGTTCAATGTGTGTGTGTAAGAGAGAGAGAGAGAGAGAGAGAGAGAGAGGGAGGAAGTAGCTGATTAAATGTCTCCGAAATATTTGTTCTGTGTGGGTGAATGTCTGAAGCTGATCACCAGTAGTGTTCAGTACTTGTTTCTCGGTGAACTGTTGAACAAGAATAAATGAGGATTAACACAGGTGAAGAACACATCTTTAATTCAAAGGGGCATTCCCTTCCTCTTCATTTTTCTCATTGTGTAAGAACACTTCCATGGATATAAGGCTGAAAGCAAAAGAACCACAGCTGCCACTGCATAAAAACATCTGGAGAAATGGAGCATGTGTGTGCACAATACCAACTTTGCAGCATAATCTCATGATGGTGTCAGCAACCTGTGGAGATTTCCTTGCCATTGCTATTTTTCCTTAGAATAAAAAGGTCTCCTTTTTTATTTTGATGCTTTCCTTTCCTTCACTTCTTTCCCCTCATATTTTTGGCAGCACCGAAATACATTAAAAATAACATTTACTTGGGGATTTAGTTTTCTTTCTCCTCTTCTTCTATCCCCTTTTTTACACTATAAGGGAAAAGTATTAAGTATACTGCTTGGTTTTTCCCTCTCCACACCTAGTCAATTTCATGTGTGGTTCCTTGTTTGCTACTGTACAAGCAGACTGTCTGAGATTAAGGGTAGATCGTGTGAAAGTTTTGTCTCAGAATTGGCGATGGGTGAAGAGAAGATAACTCAGTTTTTCCCTTCTAAAAGAAGTGAAGAAGGAAGTTGCTCTGGTGAACTCTTCATAAATTGTTCCTAGTGAAGGTTATACTGTTGCTGTTTGTTCAGCTGATCAAAAAACATGCAGACTCACATGTAAATTAGGCCTTTGTGATGCATATCCAAAAAGGATGCACCATGAAAGCAAGAGCACAAAATTTGAAGTTGTTAGGCATGTCTTGTGATTGAATTACTATGATGGTGTTTCCCATGAGCCACGGAAAACAAGATGCATTGTAGAACAGATGGCATCTCAGGTTCAACTGTTCAGCATCTTAATCTTTTATCCAACTCGTTACCACATTCACATCTTTCTCTCTTGTCAAGGTCCATGTCCAATTGGAGACCATATTTTATGGCCTGTCAACTGATAGTCAAAATCATTCATTTGACAATTGTCACAGGATCTGACATTGTTCTGGATGCATGTGTTTCCACCCTTCTAACTCATGACTACTGTGAATCTTTTGCATTTTTCAGCAATGAGAGCAATTGCCTTTACTTCCAAGTCATTGTCTGTATTTATTTGCTCCCAAGGTTTTGGTCTACTGGGATTCACATTCCAAAATAGCACATTATTTATTATTTCAAAGCAGTGCGCAGAAGAAGAAAAAGATTGTAAAGTGCAGAAGAAGCAGAGACACACATACAAAATCTCTATGTATTATTTTTTTTAAGAGAAAAGGCTCAGAGATATATTGTGACATGACTGTGTATTTGATCTTGTTATTTGTCATGTTTCCTATTTGAAGTTTTAGAAAAAAATATCCCTGTGATCAAAATATTTTCTTCCCCATCCCCTCCCCACCCTCTTTTGCTACAAAATGTGTACAGTAAAAAAATTAATCTACCTTCTTTTGTTCATTCATTCTGAGATCCTGTTTTTAATGCTAAACACTAATATTTCTTACAAAAGTAAAAGATCCTTGAAATCATATATTCTTATTTCTGGTCATGACTGGTATCCTACATCACAATGACTAAATGGATGCTATATTCTTTCTGTTCCACTGCACACAGACAACAGCTAGGAGACTGCAAAGTCCAGCTCCAAAATAGGCAAGAGAATGCTCAAATTTATTCTAATTATTCTAGAGCATGTATGGAAGAAGGACCATCTTCTATAGCCACATAAGACTGTTTATGCTTCACTCAGTGCACACTGGCAATCCAAATTGAGCACAGATGCACCTCTGCACCCAATCAGTGGTCAAGAGGGGCAGGTGGTATCATGGACAACCTCTACACGAAAGGCAATATATTACCTGTCAGGTATTGTACTTCAGGCCCGTTTCTCACAACCATACTTCTCCCCAATCTCAAATGAAGTAATTCTGAGGATGAGCTACAAAGTTTAAAAGACTGGTAAGTTGTTTCAAACATGGCAGTACCATAGCTGTATGTGAAGAAACTATACTTAGTGTAGCAGAATCTGGATTGGATTACCAGACAAGTATGGGAGCATCTACAGTGTTGAAATGGTGCAGTTTGATACTACTTTAACTGCTCTTACAATTATTGATAACATTAATTTAAGTAATAAACAATAAAGATCTATGAACAAAGCCACCACAAATGTATTCATTACACCAACAGTTCATTTTTATTTATTCTTCTTAGTTTTGCCAGGAAAGGAATTGAATTAACTTTCTTCTAATCATTCCAACTAAAATGGCTCACCACTAGGATGGCACAGCCCTACATAAAGCTTCATCTTCTTCCTTCATTGTTCAGCAACATAGAACGTAACACAAAATGACAGTGGGTTGTTGCAGGTTTTTCAGACTGTGTGGCTATGTTCTAGAAGCATTCTCTCCTGATGTTTCACTTACATCTGTGGCAAGTATATGAGAATGCTTGCTGCAACCTCTGAGGATGCTTGCCACACATGCAGGAGAAACATCAGGAGAGAATGCTTCTAGAACATGGCCATACAGCCCAAAAAATCTACAACAACCCAGTGATTCCAGCCATCAAAGCCTTCGACAATACAAAATGACAGTATTGAATATGCTTGAATTTTTCTAGGATGGCTGTATAGAAAGGACAAAAGGACAATGCTGAATATGCTTGTCTTTTTCTAGGATGGCCATATAGAAAGGATACCATTATTTCTTTTGGTTGTTGTTATGTGCCTATAAATTATATTCAAGTTATGCAAAAATGTATCCCTAGAGTTTTCTTGACATGATTTCTTGCCTTCCTCTAAAGCTGAGAGAGGCTTGCCCATAGTAACATGGTTTGAGATGAAATCCAAACCATGTCCTCTCAGGTTGCAAAGCTAAAACCAATCCTTCAACCAGGGCTGTAGGAGGGGGACATTCAACAAATACAACAGTCCAAGTCAAATACAACCATTAGACTCAAATACAGCAAAGTGACTACATGCACATTATTTGTACCAGTGTTAACTTACTATGTTAATATTAATTCAGTAGGTTTCTTATACTCCAGGTGGGATTACCAGTCAAATTTGTGCCAGTTGGCAAACCCCCCTGGAGTATCATAAACCTACTGACTTTAAAAGAGAATGAAAAAGGAAGCTGCACTTGGTAACACCTCTTTTCAAAGAGACTTTTAGTAAATAAGGAATCCTTTCCATCTGGAGAAGAATAAGAGAAAAGTGCTGGATGCAGCAAGATGCATGAGTTCTCACTTCTTTTGGAGACAAAGCAATTTGGTCTTCCACAAGACCTTTTTGAGAAAGTGAAACACAACTTTTATGTCTCTCTAACATAGAGTGCATCAGAGTTACCCTTGAAGAGGAGCTATAATACTCAGCTCACTTTGCCCAATAGAGAGATAATTATTCTATGAACTTCTCATTTTATTCTCCCATTGTGTCTGCCATATTGGCTCTGATAACTAAGAACCAGAGTCATCCTTCCACAAATCTGGGAACTGCATGAAGGTTTTCCTGAGAAATTGACTTTCAGTGAACTGAGTCCATGCATATTTCATTAGGAAAAGAAGCTAAAGGTAATATAAATGGAGATGTATCCAAGCAAATGTTTAGCTACTTCAGAACATATTTCTTAGCCATAATCATGGAGGTTGCTTGACTCCACAAACCAATCCAACATATTTTTGTCAGTTGCTCTGTTTTGTTTAGAATAAATAGTGTGAACCTCCAAAGTTATTGTTGGACTCCATCATCGGCTCTAATTCTTAGAGACCAACAATATCTGGACAGCAACATATTCCCTGTCCCTGTGCATCAACACTGTACAATGTAAAAGTTGCTCATGCCTTCTGCAAGGAAATGAAAGGATATCACCTAGTCATTATGGGCTGTGCCCTAAGTGCATACTATCTCAATATTTTATCCAATATACATTTCAAGAAAGATTGCAGATGATTGTTTTGCAGATTCATTTATTAAGGACTATTTGACCATTTTGGAAGCTGGAGGCCACTGAAAAACAAAAGGAGGAAATGACAATGGATGGCATTTCTATATTATCTGTTCCCATTACTTCATGCCCTGCAGAGTATACTTGCTCTGACTGTGTATATAAATTACCTGTTGCTGATGTATTTCCCCCTGGTGTTTCTGATTACTTTTCCCAGCAAAACACATGAATAATTTGAAATTGCTCGTTTTGGGGAGGTTGTAAGGTACATGACCCAGACCAAATGAAATATCTTTGAATTTCCAAAACTCTTTCACAGCATCAGCTGTCACAGAACACCTTATCATATCACACAAAGCAAGATGTTTCCCTTTTTGGACATTTATTGTAACAGTTGGCAAATATTACTGCTGCATATGGGTGTGTGTTTGCAGATCTGTTGTGCCAATAGTGGGTTCAGATATGAGCCTTCAATATTTATTGTTTCATTTCTGAATAAGTCATCACTTGCACAGATAGAGAGGCTTTAATATGTGCAACTTACTAACAACTTACTAAACATATTTTGGCAGTTTATTTGTTTGTTTTTAACATGGAGTAGTCAGTTGACAGAACTAGTTGTAAGTTATCAGACCTAATCAGGTACAAAATATATTGTAACAGTTGATGTCCAGGGTAGACGTATTTTTCTACCTGGAGGTGTCATAGACTGAAGCAAAGACTTTTTGCATGCAAGACATTATTTCTACTATGTCGTTTCATATCCATAATAATAATATATAATTTGACCATGTGTGAATCTATCTCTGTCATCACTTCAAGACCCAGAAATGTACACATACTACTACGGCTCGACAGGTATGTAACTCCGTATAGTTTGTGCTTTTTAAATGGATTATTTAATCTGAAGTCTGCAGTAATACCTTCAGTTACTTCAATGGAAGTACACTTTCCTAACCTTCTGTAACCAAAACAACATGTATGCTTTGGAATATTAATTTTTCCAGGCAGCCATAGGTTGCTTATACATGGTCTTTCCATTTGCAGGGCTCAGAATAGATAGAGGGAGAAATCCTTTGAATAGCTAAAGAGAGAAAGAGTTAGTGATGAGAAAGTGGAGGGAGGAGGGGGTGGGTGGGAAATGAGCATGAACAAATACTGCAAGAAAAAAAATATCATGAAGAGATAAATAGAGAGAGGATAAAGTGCTAATGGGAGGGAAAAGTACAGCAATCATGGGAGTTGTAGTTTGGTGAGGCACCAGCATTCCTTGGCAGAAAAGGCTTGTACATGACCTAGACCTCCTTTGTTATCATTGAATTGAAACATGGCAGTTAAAGCAGTGTCAACCTAAATTAATTCTGCAGTGTAAGTGATAGGCTTGGTTGATCCCCCCCCCCCAAAAAAAAAACATGGAGTACTGTTAGATCACCAAATTTCATAACTTTTGACTTATCCATTGATTTTTGGTGAATTTTCAAAGTTTTTTTTTTAAAAAAAAGTTTTTATAGACTGACCCGGCTTCCCATTGGGAAGTGAATAAGTATAAGTTCTGAATTGCCATTTGCTACAGAGCAGTTGTGGTTCACTGAGAGAGTGCACCATCCCCCAGAACCAGGAGATCATGAGTTCAATCCCTGCCAGGGAAATATTTTCAAATTTTTAATTAAAAAAAAACATTTTAATAATAAAAAAAAATCTGTTCCTGGCTTGAAAGTGTTATTTCCTGATTCATTGGGTGGTCTTTACTTTGAAAGTAGTTGTTCTACTCCAGAAACTACAGTGAGTATGAAAAATTATGGGAGTGACATGGTAATAGCAATCGGAATTATGGTTTCCATACAAATCTATAGACCTTTGCCCTAAGAGCTTAACAACAACAACAACAACTTTATTCTTATACCCCACCACCATCTCCCTGAAGGGACTCAGGGCAGACAAGCCCAAGAATACAGATTAAAACACACACAATAAAAATAAGACAAAATAAAACTGCAACATCAAAAAAACATACAATCACATTACACATTTTTTAAACCGTAAGGCTGAGGGAATAAAATAGGAAAGTATTTTGTAGGTATAATCCTCCCCACCTCAACCCCCTTTGTTGCAGCATGAGATGGGATACCTCTTGAACATCTGCTTTTTTTCCAAATATGGAAGTATATAGCCCCTGATTCTGAACTGACACAGCCAACTGACTCCAAGGTCACTGTTCTTCCTTGTTCTTACCTTGCTGGAGAAATGTAATGTGAATGGGAGGCAATCTCCACCAGTGGATCATTCTTCTCTTCTCACTTGGCAACTGCTGGGGGTTAGCAGCAGTTGGACTGATTGTAAGTTGCTCCATCCAAAACAATATATACACCTTGAATTATTCTCATATATGTCACTAACTGGATCCCACCTGCAATTCTGAAATCATAAGCTGGCAGCAAAAACACACCAGGAATTTCTAGCTGTATAAATTATATTGTTGTAGTTTTAGCCTTCTATTGTTTTTTTCATTTTGAACCTCTGACTGTTGGATATCCATCTTTAAACTGAGCTCTGATTCCCTGGAAGTGAGTCAATCTTTGCTC